TTTTTTGATATTTGCAACCATAGTAAAACAAAGACTTCTATTTTTGATATTTATTTTATATATTTAATTGCTATTAAACAAAAAAAAATCAACCAAAAAAATGAGTAGGTGACACATGTGTCATTGGTTCGCCATCACTGCCCTAGACAGTGGGCAGCAAACTGCGGCTCACGAGCCATATGCGGTTCTTTGGCCCCTTGAGTGTGGCTCTTCCACAAAATACCGACTTCTGCGCATGGGCCACGAAGTTTCAATCGCACTGTACATGCGTGCCCACACACGTGGTATTTTGTGGAAGCGCCACACTCAAAGGGCCAAAGAGCCACATGTGGCTCGCGAACCGCAGTTTGCGGACCACTGCCCTAGGAGCTGTATTGGTGAAGAAACTGCTTGGGCATATATCTGAGATTTTGTTGCCTTTGGATTCCTCTAGTATTTTTATGGTTTCCCGTCGTACATTTAAGTACTTTATCCATCTTAAGTTTATTTTTGTGTATGGTGTAAGTTGGTGGTCTAGTTTCATTTTTTTGCATGTATCTGTCCAATTTTCCCAGCACCATTTATTGAAGAGACTATCTTGATTCCATTGTATGCTCTTGCCTCTTTTGTCAAATATTAATTGAGCATAGCGGTTTGGGTCGATTTCTTGGTTCTTTATTCTATTCCATTGGTCTGTATGTCTGTTCTTGTGCCAGTATCAGGCCGTTTTGAGAACAGTGGCTCTGTAGTATAACTTGGTATCTGGTATTAAGATCCCTTCTACTTTGTTCTTTTTGTGTGTGTGTGTATTTTTTATTCCATCTTCAGATTTTGCCATTAGTTTTCTTTAAATTATTGTTACTTTTCTTGTGTGTTTAATGCTTTCTTTAATTAGATTGACTGACAAGCAGGAAATAGTGCTTGAAACTAAATCCCCTGTCAATTTCTTAATTTAGAATTTCAGTCTTGCTTTTCTCTTTTAATAAGAGCTTATAGGACTTAAATTTTTTTCAAAGAGGTTATAGATGTCAGTAGACTGTAGGTGTCTTTTTGAAACTTGTTCTTGGTATTGTGTGGACCTTCTTCATTTAAACACTTTTCATTTTCTTTTCTCATTCTATTTCTATGGTGATTACTTTTTGGTTCATTTTTTATTGTTCACTTCTTTTGTCTCTTTTAATTTTGGTCCTTTTTTCCTATTACTTTTCTTCTGAAAGTCCTGTTCACACAGTTCTGTTGTATAGTATTTAATATGGGAACTAAGAGAATAGTAAGGAACACCTATTTTGTATTTAGGTCTTCCTTTGCCAATGATTGCCACTTTATCATATTTTCTTTATTTTATTTTATTTTTTTAAATATATTTTATTGATTTTTTTTTTACAGAGAGGAAGGAAGAGGGATAGAGAGTTAGAAATATCGATGAGAGAGAAACATCGATCAGTTTGCCTCCTGCAAACCCCCTACTGGGGATGTGCCCACAACCAAGGTACATGCCCTTGACTGGAATCGAACCTGGGACCCTTCAGTCCACAGGCCGATGCTCTTTCCACTGAGCCAAACTGGTTATGGCTATCATATTTTCTTTAGGTTTTGTAGTGTTTTCATAGTGGAAATCTCCTTGGTACTGTTACCATGATATTGATATTAATTATTGACATGTTTATTGTTATACTTTTACTGTATGGATTATTCTTCCTGATCCCAAGAGGAACAGTGGTTTTCAGCTCATAGATTCCTAATAGAATTTCCTGGGAGCTTTTAAAAAAACAAACTACCTTATAGTTGTATTGGCCTCCTTGTGAATGGTACATCAGGCATTGCTGTTTTACAAAAGTTCTTGATGTAGTTGTAATATTCACCCAGTGTTAAGAACCACTGCTTTAGAGGAATTTTGAAAATTTTTGCCACACCTTCCAAGGGTATTTGAAGTGATCTGATACATTTTTGCTACTTTATGACTTTTTAGCACCAGATACAGTATTTTCTTAAGTCAATGATTCATCAAGTGGTGACAAATTAAGAGGGGTTTCTTTCCTTTGGGGTGGTGGGGAATGTTTTAGAAGGCTGGGTCATCTCAGTTGAGATCATGATGAAGAAACTTTTAGTTTTCACCTGCAAGGTATGAGAGAGAGAAACAGTCTTTGTTCTTCTGCATGGGAATGGTAATCCTTTTCACCCCTCACAGTCTAGTATCCATTGAGGACAGTTGGAGTCAGTGAGCTTTTCCCAAGGCCTGAAGAAATCTGTGCGCCAACAGTAGTTACTTCAGGAGGAAGTTGTGAAATAGAGAAGTTATAAACATATGTTTAGACTGCTTTGGCTAATTTTAAAGTAGCACATTTGGCCTCTTTGAGGACATTTTAGCTTCAGAACTATTTTTCTCATGTGATAAAATGTTTTATGAAATAAACTACCTTTGGAATTGAGTTTTGAGAATTCCAAGGTTTGTACCTTTTTAAAAAAAATATATATTTTATTGATTTTTTTACAGAGAGGAAGGGAGAGGAATAGAGAGTTAGAAACATCGATGAGAGAAACATCGATCAGTTGCCTCCTGCACATTTCCTACTGGGGACGTGCTCGCAACCAAGGTACATGCCCTTGACTGGAATCGAGCCTGGGACCTTTCAGTCCGCAGGTTGACGCGCTATCCACTGAACCAAACCGGTTAGGGCTAGCTAGGTTTGTACTTTTTTAAGAACCTGCTTCATTACTGAAAGTTATTATGTTGTTAATATCATGAAGTTTACAAAATGGTTAAATGATCTTATCTTTGTATCTGCAAGCATAAATAGTACTAAATGTACTATGAACTCACTATATAACTTGCCCTTGACAGAATAATATAATTTCAAATAATATAATTTAAAAATGGGGGCATTTTTTTAAACTACAAGTATATGGCACATCATTGTTAATTTGATGCATTGATTAAATAATTTAACCAGAGGATTAAAACTAATACAAATAGATACTACTGTTTCAATATCCTGATTTATTCATCAGATAAAAATTTCCAGTGGGCAAATACTGGAGCAACTGTGTTTGGAACACAGTCAACCAATAAAGTTGGTGAAGAAGAAGACGGTAGTGATGAAGAAGTAGTTTATAATGAAGATATCCACTTTGAACCAATAGTGTCATTACCAGAGGTAACTATTAAAGGATGAAAATCTTAGTAATAACATATTTTAGGTTTCAAACTTGATTTTGCAGGGCTGGCTTTGTTTGCATTTCTTTCAAAATATTTACAGTTTCAAATGGAAGCTCTTAATTAGAAGTTAAGCCTTTAAGTATAAATTATCATTTTTGTTAAAATTTATATATAAATGTTGTTTGGTATATTACATATAAAATTATTGGGAAGAGCTAATTTTTTTCATATGTTTGTTTTCATAACATAATTCTGGGGGCAAATATATCTAATCTCATACTTGCTAAAGTCCTATCAGTAAAAATAAACTCTACATTTTCTGTACAAGAATGTTGTTTTAGACAAATTATTTTCAGTTTTCAACTTCAAATAGTAAATATTTCTCTTGAAGAACTTTTTGAAACCATTTCTGTCTTATAATAGAATGTATTTAATTTTCAAAAGGAGGAAGAATACTACATAAGCAAAAATGATTTAATAACAAGTCAGGTCTACACTGTGTAATCCAAGCCAGACGTATTCTTAGCCTTAGGATATTACCATTTGTTTTTATAGCACAGTTCATGTTTTGTTAATGTCATTAACAAAGACAGTATTTTAAGGAATTTGTTTTGAGCAGCATCTTATTTTTCATCTATCATAGGTAGAAGTAAAATCTGGAGAAGAAGATGAGGAAATTTTATTTAAAGAGAGAGCCAAACTTTATAGATGGGATCGAGATGTCAATCAGTGGAAGGAGCGTGGTGTTGGAGATATTAAAATTCTTTGGCATACACTGAAGAATTATTATCGGATCCTAATGAGAAGAGACCAAGTCTTTAAAGTGTGTGCAAATCATGTTATTACCAAAACAATGGAATTAAAACCCTTAAATGTTTCGAACAATGCTTTAGTTTGGACTGCCTCGGATTATGCTGGTAAATGCTACTTTTCACTTTTTGGATTTTCCTAAAATCCATAACAATATTATAACATTTTGATATTGAGATAACTGTGTTGTTTTGTTGTTTAATAGATGGAGAAGCCAAAGTGGAACAGCTTGCAGTGAGATTTAAAACTAAAGAAATGGCTGATTGTTTTAAGAGAAAATTTGAAGAATGTCAACAAAATTTATTAAAACTCCAGAAAGGACAGGTATCACTGACAGCAGAATTATCAAAGGAGACAAATCCTGTGGTGTTTTTTGATGTTTGTGCAGATGATGAACCTCTAGGACGTATAACCATGGAATTATTTTCAAACATTGTTCCTCAAACTGCTGAGAACTTCAGAGCACTATGTACTGGAGAGAAGGGTTTTGGTTTCAAGAACTCCATTTTTCACAGAGTAATTCCAGATTTCGTTTGCCAAGTAAGTATTGACTGTGTATCACAATTGAAGTCTAGAAAAGTGTACTACACTAATAGGGAAATTTGAGTGTTTCTCTTCACCTATAATTTTCTTAGATTTCTTTAGCTTTTCCACACATTAGTTGGTCTTACCATCTCAATATATCCTACCCCCACAAAAAATTTTCAGCTTAAAATAGTTGAAATTTCTAATAACTTTAAACCTGCTATAAATTGAGGGTGGGAAAAAGACCTGTCATTTTTGTCTTCTTTCAAAAATGGGTATTACTTAGTGTTCATACCACATTTTCTCGCAATCTGGATGATTAGGACTTATCCGTAGTGGTTAGTTAGTCTGTGTGCATTGTAATATTTTACTCAGGATCCCTATTAATAATAATTTTTTTCAGGGTGGAGATATCACCAAACATGATGGAACAGGAGGACGGTCCATTTATGGTGATAAATTTGAAGATGAAAATTTTAACGTGAAACATACTGGTCCTGGCTTCCTATCAATGGCTAATCGAGGCCGCGATACCAATAATTCTCAATTTTTTATAACATTGAAAAAAGCAGAGCATTTGGACTTTAAGCATGTAGTATTTGGGTTTGTTAAGGATGGCATGGATACTGTGAAAAAGATTGAATCATTTGGTTCTCCTAAAGGGTCTGTTAGTCGAAGAATTAGTATCAAAGAATGTGGACAGATATAAAGTCATTGTTTTTTTTATAGTAAACTTTACCTGTATAAACAGTTGATTTGAAGCTTAGCTGTTATGACAATATAGTAATTATGTTCAGCTTTTGAAAATGGACATTTCTAATGTATAAATGTAAAATTGCAGCGTATAGCTATTGTCACTTTTTAATGTGTTACAATTGACCTTGCATGGTGTGAAATAAAAATTTAAACACTGGTTTGTTTCAGGTGTACTTGTGTTTATGTACTCCTGACATATTTGTATTAAAGTGGGATAATACTAATCTTGTTAAAAGCAATAGACCTTCTCATTGAAGGAATATTATATAAACAATTTAATTTTAATTTCTTTTAAGATACTGGACTTCCTGCATGGATATATTTACTGTTTGAATAAAGGGACCAAAATGGGGGTAATTTTTATTTTAGATTTGAAAATATATTTGGTAATTTTAACTATTGGTGTTCTCATTTATGCATAGAGACTTATGAATGGGCAGAGCCCAGAGGTTAGAGACAACCAAAGTGCTCTTCTATAATCTTTGCACTTCCTGGATAGTTAATGAATTTCTAAGTAGAGTACCTTTTCTTAAAATTATTTGTAGCTTCCTGTGCCCTTTCAAAGGTATTACATTTATTTTTACATTTGAAACAAGTTGAGTATGTCCTTAGAGTTTTTTTTTAACTTTTCTGTCATCTCTTTCTACTACCTCAAACTGCAGCTTTGTTCTAGTTGAACTTGAGTTTTTCCTTGCAGTTATTGTGATAAAGTGTGAATATTTTAAAAAGATCTATTCCATGTTTTTGGTTAAAGATTTGCTTTATACTAGATTGTTGCAGTAACTTTTTCTGGTGAATTTTGTAGCAAAAATAAAATGACAATTGTTAACAGCCATGACATTTAGAAAATTTATTGTGCATATAATTGTTTGTTAATTCTAGAACCAAATTATGGAGGACAATTAAAGGTCTATAAACTCAAAATGCCACATAATTTCCACAGCCCTCAAGGAAGTGACTCTTTTCAAGTTTGATACACACTGAAAATTTATTTGGAAAATGGCTAGTTTCAAAAGTTAGACTGCTAAAAGGATATTCTCATAAGCCTACTCAATATAGAACTATAAGGAAGCTAATTAGAGCACAAGATTTGGTATATTCCAATCATTCTAATCACTAATAGTGGCTGCCTTCTGCCCTCCTGTGTTCTTCCCAGTTGTTTAGGGATTTGGAAATAGGCTATCCTATATAATAAACGGCTATTATGCAAATTGACTGAATGGTGGAATGGCAGTTTGTTATGACGCGCACTGACCATCAGCGGGCATATGCTCAATGCAGGAGCTGTCAGTCAGACATCCCCCGAGGCCTCCTGGACTGCGATAGGGTGCAGGCCAGGTTGAGGGGCCTCCCCTCTCCAGAGTGCACAAATTGCGTGCATCGGGCCTCTAGTCTCTATATAAAAGGCTAATATGCTAAGTGTCACTCCGACCATCTGACTGGTCGCTATTATGCACACTTACCACCAGGGGGCAGATGCTTAATGCAGGAGCTGCCGTGACGTGCATTGGCTATTTACAAAGAAATGGCACTATGGACCTGGTGCCCACAAAGCAACACTCAGCTTCCCCCAAGTGGGATACAGGCCCTACCACCACCCTGGAGTGACAGCCCACCAAATCGCAGCCAATGCTGCCAAGACCCCATTGCGCAAAATGTGGCCCAGAGCCTGGCCCAGCCCAGAAATGATGGCTGTGGGCACCTAGTAATGATGTTATGTAGCAATGCCCGGCTTTCTCTCCCTAGCGACTAGTCTCCTTGGAGTTTCTTCAGCCCAGGAACATGACTTGTTTTATAGCCAGGTGCAAACATTTTACACTTTAACCAAATGTCTGTGAAGTGTTTTCTCATGCCTCATCTCATTTGATCCTCACAGAAGTCTTGGAGTAGGTAGATAGGAGACCCAGTGGAATCCTAGTTTCTTTTCATTAGCTAGAAAATGAAGATTTTGAAAGTTTAGAAACTTGACCGACTGAAAAGAAGGTAAGAAATGGTGGACCTTAAAATGACTTAAGGTTTTTTCAGTATGCAGAGTATAGTCAAACACTGCTGCAGTTAAATATTTCACCCTTTGTTCTCCCTGTGTGATCTACAATAATCTGCTTCCTATTGATATTTACTGCAGTGTTGTTGACAATTACCTGAAAGAGAAGTTGGGGTGCTTCCCTGGGTTGGAAAAAGTTTAGCTAAATCAGAAAGCAGGTCTAATTAAGCAAGCTTATCTATATAAAGCTCTCTCTGGTGCCAATCGCATGGTGTATTTGCATCTGTCATTGTCCGTTGTGAATTTGGTTGACACTATTATAGAGAAAGGGTGAATACCGATATTAAAATATTTCATCTAATTCATTTCCTATTTTTTCATTTCCCTTA